TTTGTGTATTACTCGTTACAATCAAGCTCTTGGTGCCGCCCATTCTGATTACAAAAGCTTGGACAGCAAATAGTGTTATTGATCTTGAAGTAATCGTTTGATTACAACAAATTTGGTTGACAGTTGGACAGTCCTGATGGCCAAGTACCGATCGAATACACTGTGGTCCGTTTGAGGTCAGAGCACATTGCCAGCTAATATTTCATTTTCCTGTTCTTGCCTCAGTTGATGAATCTCAACCTGTCGTCCGGACACTCTCTTCGATTTCTTGATTTTCATTTTTTACTTGGGGATCCAGTCGACTCGGGAAACTGACTGACTGAGTGGCTTTTTAGTGCCCCGGGGACGACATTACCGCATGTGTCCTGGCAGATTCTCAATGTCTGTCAAAGGCCGTTGAGTTTCTGCTTAAATCTGACTGGCGTCGTCTCTTCTTCCATTTCAAAAAAGAGCTCATTGCAAAACAGTTTGCCATTGATTTGTGTGTGGTGTGCTTTAGGGGTGTGTGGTGTGCTTTAGGGGTGTGTGGTGTGTGTGGTGTGTGGTGTGCGGCGGCCCATTTCGCTTGATTGCCCATTTCGGGCAGCGCCAAACGCTTTCAGAGGCATTAAAAAACACACACTCGCGCAGAAATGCTCGGAAATGCCTCGTTTTTAAGTCAATATCGAACGGGGGCAATCAGGCAAAATGCCACGCCCCACCCAGAAACATACAGCCGAGTACAAGCGATTGGGTCCGCTTTTGAATGAGGAAAATTTTAATTTCTAAAAATCAATAATTATACTGATAAAAACAAACATGAAATATTGTTTATTGCTTTGAATGCTTTGTTTGTTAATGACAGAACTCGTAAAATATTAAAAATATGTTATCTTCATGTGTTAAATAAAGAGATATAATGTGAACATAAAATTGAAAACATTATAAAGTTTGGGTCTTTATTTTTTATTTCTTAGAACAAATAACCCTTACCCAGAAAACTGGAAGAAGGCAAAAGTTATAGTTATATGTAGATGCCACATGTGATTCAGAAAATTATTATATAAAAAAAAGTTTTCATAATATTTTTGGGTATTTCTAATTCTATAATTGAGATGGTAAAGCATTTTCATTGATTATAAAGTACAGACAAACATAATTCGTTCCCAGTTAAAATTAAAGCGAACTTTTATATTTTTCCGACCCAAGCTGTGCGTATGCATGTCTATATCATTATCGGCAGAGAAGTCATCACCATTGCCATATCACCATCATTATCGTCCTAGTCATAATCATCGTCGTCGTCGTGGTTGTCGCTGTAGTCGTAGTCGAGCATAAAACGCGGCGGCATAAAGTTTGCCAAGTCTTCAACAGTTTTCAACACACTTCCCACTTTTGCCGCTTATGCTCACTTTTCCTCACTTCTGGCCACATTTCCCGCTTTCCACTTCCCGTCTCACGTTTCCACACCCATTTTGGCGATTTTCGAACTTCGTGCTCCATGCTAATAAAAACATTAACGTTGCCGTTGCCCCCACATGTGATGAGAGTCGACGGAGCTGGGGTGCCAACTTTAGTCATAAATAAATATTTTCTTGGCTAACATTTTGAGCAGATTTCGGGGAACGCCTTTAAGGCAAGTCTTTTGGCCAGAACGCGACGCGTGCCAATTTGTTAATAGATGAAAGTTGCTTGGCTGTAATTTGAAACTGTTTACATTCCCCCTTTTTGTGTTTTGTATTTTGTGTTTTGTGTTTTGAGAGTCCAAGTCCACTGGTCCATTTGTGTAACTTTGGAAATGTTCGCAAGATAACAAAGCAAAAGTTTTTGCGCGAAACAACACCCCAGCTCCTACACTGAAAAGTTATTAAGATGCTATATTGAATATGATATATTGATCAGGAATTGTCTTTAAATTTTAAAACGAATTGTATTATTTGCTTTCAATTAATTGGCTTTCTTGGATTAGGGGTTGCTTTTAGTCCGATACAAAAAACGAGGTTGGATTGAATATAGAAATTAGTAAGTTTTAAATAGTTTGTATCTAAAGTTTTCCAGTCGAAACAGATTAATATGTGTGATTGTTTTTATTTGTTGTTTTACTTGACTAAGTCAAATCTTTGAAAATACTATATGAAAGGCTTTCTGGCTGAGTTTTTTCTCTCTGCTTTGAATTTCCCCATCTTAAACTGACAGATTGAGAGACTGACTAACTGAGTGGGTCATGGGCTGATTGCTTGATTGGCTGATTGACTTGCCAACGAGCCGCGACCTGCGGCTGGCGACCCACTTAATTGTTGGCCACTCGTAAAACTATTGGCCCCCTCGGCGACTTGCAAGTTTGCCAGCGAACTACTCGAAGTTCACGTCCCACCAAGTGCGATAACCGATAACCAAGATGGCCAAAAGCGAGAAAGGGGAAAAAAGGGAGGAGGAAAGGCAGGGCAAAGGGTGAAAGATACTTGGCCAAGTCCGTTGTTTCAGCGGATACAATACACAATCTGGCCAAGGAGCGCTGCTGTTGATGTTGGACTTGGGTCAATGTTATTCTAGTATCTAGTATCGAGCCACATCCATCGATTGATTTAGCCAGAGAGCGGAAAACTAATGAAAATGATCTCTGTAAGTCAACTACAGAGGAAGTGCTGGAACTCACTGCAAGTGAAGAACAGAAATTTAAAATAATTCAATTCATTTGTTATGGCTAAAAAACTAACATTGTGAATATAAATGATTGATTTTTGATTGCTACGAAATTAATATATCTCATTCTTTAAATTATTATTTAAGGTTCATATGTATTCCACCAATACCTAAAACTGACAAAGCCAAATAAAATAATCATCAATCAATTGATTATATCAACTATGAACAGTTTTATTTGAACAGTAAATTTCCTAATACAAATAGCCAACTAAGCAATCAATTAATTTAAGAACTCATTCTACTGTAACTGCAATTCAAATAATTTCGATATACTTGATTCGGCTTGAACGGATTCAATTTAATTCATCATCCGCAAGACATAGACTCATTTCCCATAGACCCATTTCACTCAGTTTGCCGGTAAATAAGCCTTCGCTTTTAGTCCTCGCATCTGTAAGAATTCTGGCTGGCTAAATCACCGGCATCTCGAGCGTTTATCGATGCAGCTAACTTGTTTGGGCAACTTAAAATGTACCCAAGATATTAAGGGCCCTCGGGCAAATTGTATCTGCATAAGTGCTGGCACCATCCAATCCCAGAAAAGTGGAAGACTTGAAAGGGAGAAAAGCAGGCATGGCATGTTGCATGCCTCAGTGAGCAATAAGTTCGACAAACTCATTTCATTAAGCTCGGCGCTGCATAAAAAAGTGGGCTGTGTGAGTGGGGTGTGAGGGGGTGGGAACGGGCTAATGCGCTGCCCCAAAACCCCCCATTTTCCGGCAGCTTTCCCGACTTTTCCGGCTGCCTCTGACTCTGCCACTGCCACTGCCTTCGTCGTCGATGTCTCATCATTTATTGGCAAGCGCTTTTCAACGGATTGGCATCGCTCCGCATGCATCGCTTAAAGTGGATAACAGGGAAGGATATGGGAATATGGAAGGGACTGGGGAGGGGGGATCGGGCGATCCTTAAAACCAGAGGCAGCCCGTCTGTTGCTATTTATTGCCAGCTCGCAGCGTCGCACTCCAAAGCCATCAATTTTTTATTAGATTATATAAAATTTACCAACGATTTATCTATGCCCAGCGCCGCTAGCATGTCACCATCTAACCCAATCAGTTTCCCCGCCACTTTCCGTTTTTCCCCAACGATTTCCCCACCCGTTTCCCATTTCCCATATCCCATGTCCCATGTCCCATGTCCCATTTACCAGCCCCCTTTTAAGGTCCCTTGTCGCCGCCTGTTCATCGGATTGCAGCAATCGGAAATCTGACGGCAACGACAACAGGATGTATTGGTTGCATTTAATGCAAATAATTTAATGAACAAAGGGCCACAAAAAGGGAAGGGCTTGAATCGGATTATGGCATATCGTAATAATCGAGTTTTCATTATCACTGGAGGTCGGCCAGACACATTGGTGGCACTCAATGGCAGCAATTAGCTCTTAGCTTGTATGTTATGCTTAAAAAAGGTGGGAACTCATTTGCCAAATTTTAGGTACCTTACGTTTTCTACAAAAATGTTACAAGTTCGGTTAGCTCGTAAGTTATTTACATTATTATATGGTTAGATTTTTTCGTATATAAAGGCTACTTTAAAACTCTTTTCACTTCTTTACTTTTAAAGTGAATTAAAAAGCGATTTATGTAAATTGCCAAAAAGTTGTTGTTAAAAGCTTATATATTTATATTTAGCATTTTCCGATATTTAGATGTTCAGAAAATGTTGTATTTTTTATTTAAGTGATTGATTAGCCTCGAAAGTAATTCTTGTTTTATTTTAAATTAATTTCAGATATTGAAATCAATTCCGAAAACAGTCACATGAAATTCCGAATTTAAAATTCATCGGCTTCCTATCGATACATTTATTGATTGCCATTTTCTTCCCTCATTTGCAATTGTATCGAACAGCTTCTGCGATTGGGGTTGAGCACCGTCTGTTTAAATGGGAAAATTCTTAATCTTACCTAGGTTGTTTCTGTAACCGTGCCCCGCCCAGTAACCACCGCCCACCACCCTTTGCCACGCCCACCGCCAAGCGATACAGTTACTTTGAGTTGTCATGCTGGAAATACATTAAAATGCAGTTGAAGCTGCAATTGCTGGCAGGGCCACGCCTCTTTTTCTCACTTTCCCACGCCCACCTGTCAGTCTGTCTGTGAGTTTTCAGCTCTCGCTTCGTTTTTTGTTATTGTTTTTTGCGCTGGCAGGCATTCATCAGCGTTATCCTGTCTCCTCATCCTGGCGCTCTACATGCAATACCTGCACTTTGCATTTCTTTGCTACTTTCGCGCAGGAATTAACATTAGCTCAACCAAAATGAAAGACAGCTGGGAAATTGATTTGCTCTTGTTTTCTCCATCTTTGCAGGCTAACGGGCAATCACCTGGAACCCTCTCATAGGTAAGTCCCCAAACAAAATTATATATTTCATGTTTTTAAGAGCCAACTATAGTTTACTAATGTTATATCACATGGACAAAAGCATCAAAAATGTATGTTATTTGAATTTATTTATGTATATTAAAGAATATTTTTACGTATTTTGAAATGGGATTCGACAAATATATTTGTTTATTCTATATTATATACTACGTTTCTACTTCGTTTATTCAAACAAAAATTTTATTTATCTTATATTTGTTTTTAGCCGACTAAGGCCCATTCAAAATCAAGAACACAAACAATGTTACTACTTTATAGTATAATATATATAAATGGTATAGATATTTTTAAAACAATGCAACTACCTCTGCTTCCCTTAACGCATCACTAAAATTGGTAAATCTTTTGTTAATTTTTGTTTGGCTGGTGATGGCAATGTAATTGAAACTGCCGCTGGTCCGCAAAACCTGCAACTAAACCTCTCTACTTAATGGGTCGACATTAATCCTGCTGCTGTTGGTTTTCCCGTGATCCAGTCCTTCGGGTCCTTTGGCGCTCGACTTTGACTTTGACTGTGGCTTAACACCGCTGTCGTTAAATGCGCCAAACGGGCGAAAAGAAATTGCCACTAAATGTTATTGAAATCGAATACGTTGCTCCCCCACCTCCGTCGTCCTGTGGGGGGTGGCGGTAGCACGCCCGTTGTCACTTGCCATTGGCCTCGGTGCGTTGCGGTTGCTTTTAATATCCTTAATGTCCTCGTATCTGCGAGACGGTGTGCTGGTGTTTGTGTTTGTGCTGGTGTTTGTGCCTGCCATCATCATCGTCTTTCCTGGATGTCCCCGGAGCTGTTCGGCGAAACATCCTGCAGTGTTTATCCTTTTTAATCAGAAATTGATGCGCTGCCTTTTCACAGCCATCGAAGGCGGCGCTAGGGGGTCGGATAAAGATAAAGACACGGATTCAGTTTCAGTTTCAGATTCAGATCCAGATCCAGATATGAGAGCGCATTCGCATTCGGATACCAAAGACAATGGACTGCGGATACGTGCCCTTTTCGCATTTTTCGTCGACGTCGCATTGGCTTATTGCCCGCAACTAATTCCTAATTACAATTTCAATTAAATATTTATTTTAATTAAAAAGCCAACTTCAAAAACACATCTCATCCACATCCGTTGCTCGGCAGTTGCCGGTATACTGAGCGAAACAAAATAAATATTATCACTTTGAATTCAAATATTTAAAAACAATTCAGCTGTGAGAAAAGCCCAGTATTTTTTCTATGTTTGGAAATTTTAAATTTTGTTCTTTAACTTTTAATATTGAAATATTTTAAAATACATCTATAAATTAAGTTTGTTAATGAGAAAACATAACATTATCAATACTTCTGGTAAATCTTCTTTATTCGTTTAAAACTAAAACTTAAAAATATTGTGATTATTAAAGAAAGCTTAAAAAAATTAATTGAATTAAATTAAACTTGCTTGCAATCGATTGCTTATAATACAATAGCATTATATAAAAATCGTCAAATATGTTGTTTAATAAATTACAAATTTTAAAACACATGCAACCATTTTAATCAAAAAACTTGAGCTTTTGAAATAAGATAGATAACTTTAAAAACACAAGTTTTTTATTCTGTTTATATCATCTTATAATCAAAAAATGCAAAACTAAATTGTTTTTCGTTTCGTTTGTAGGTGGGAAATCACTTTCGTATTATTATTTTATTGGCATATGTGTTTGCTTTTTTCCCTGGTTTTTTTTTCGCACCGTGTAGGGCCCCGAGCGAGGCAGCAATGCGAATCTGGTGGTTACCTCGAAGTCCTCCGGGCTGTCGAACCGCCGGAGCCCCGCTCCACGCCCTGCTTCATTAAATTTCATGAATCGCCCGCAGCGCCATGCCATATCCTGTGCATGTTGTTGATGGCTCTGCCCACAGACTGCCGTGGGGGTCACGGCTATATCATCTGCCATTGTTGTCTGCCCGAACATAACTCTCCTCGGCCATACCCAGAGCCAGAGCCAGAGCCGGAGCCGGAGCCAGAGCCAGGGCAGGAGCGAAAGCCAAAGCCATACGCGCCCGTATCCGTATCTTGACCATCCTATAGCCCCCCCCAAACCACCCAAAACAGCCAGCAGTACCCAGAAAAACCCACCGAACCACCCTCTGTTGTTTCAGCGAAAGCCACAAAAACTGTTGGCGCTTTTATTTATTTGCTATTGATTTCCACTGTCCCAGGACGCAATTTGTTTGCAATAAACTTCATAACAATAATTCATGTCCGCACAAATAAATAATTCATGGTGCCCGTTCCGAAAGCGAAAGCGAGAACGAAAGCCCACCACAGCCACTAAGATTTGCGGGGCTTTGATAGATAATTTCTTTCCTTTCTTTCTGATACATAATTGTGGGGGTGGGTGGGCTGGGTCCTTTCAAGGACACCGCAAGTTAATAAATCCAGCACTCGCAATGATAATAAAAAGTCGGCGTTAAATTAAAAGGTGTTTCAGCGCATCCAAGCATGTAAGCGAGTTCTGATTCAATACGTTCTATCAGCAGCTGCTATTAACTAAGGACGAGAACGGGGCAAATGAATGATGATACAATGAATGATTCAGTAGGTCGCTTAGTAGGAGTAAAAACAGCATAACGACCGGGAGGAGGACAAGTCAGCTGAAAGGATATCAATACGATGGGATTATGGAATACTACTACTACTACTGCTTTTCTACATATGAGACCACAAACGAGTTCTACAACAATATTTTAGATCGCACAATTATGGGCACCTAAACAAAATAAATTCAAAATAATTTACTATTATTATTTGAAGTAATTGTAATTGTAATCATTTGTTGTTAAAATAAGTATATCAATTTTTTTTGGCCAAATCTTGTATGAATAGTATTTATTATAACTACTACTACTATTTAGTATAACTACGATGATCTCTCATATTAAGTCAGTCATTTCTTGTATTTGCTTTGTATATTTTTTGCTCTACAATTACAATAGGCATATAAAATGTTTTGCCATATTTCATATAATTTTAAGTTATTTGTTTATCACACAACAATCAGCAAATTGAAAGAGATTTTCCATCGCTACCTACCCCACTGTAGTGCATTAGAGACTGCTCGAATGGTTTTGAGTGCTCGCATATGATATCGCCAAGTAATCGAAAGGGAAAAGCGATAAACGAACCGGAGCACGAGAGTACGAGTGTCCCAGCCCATCCCTTCCGCATTTACGTACGCACTCGAATTTCGATTCGGCGGGGTATGGATTACCAATTAGCATTTCCATTGGCGTGGTCAACCCATGCCCATTACCTCGTTTTGTGTGCGGATTGCGGTGGCCATTCGATGGCGAAAGTGAAGTGGTTTTTGGGGACATGGGAAATTGAATTTCCCATTATCGTTTAAATGAAAATTCATGCCAGCGGCAACATTTTACTTTCCCCGCTCGCTTAGCTGATTAAATGCAGGCCACGCGGCGTATGGGCGATGTGGCCCGCCCATCGCATTCCTCATACGCCACGTGTGACGCCTTGATTTCTCGCCATAAAGCACAAAACACAGTGTGCGAGTATTCAATGCGGTGGGGTCAGTGGGCATTGCGTTTCGGCGGGCCGGACCAAGTCAGACAAATATAATAAAAATCAAGGGAAAATACAATATTTACACATGCATACAAATAAACACAAATAAAATATAGCACAGGACGAGGATGGCTGCGAAGCAAAATGCCAGCGAATCTCCAGCAATAGCGACATTGGCGAGGGGCAATCGAGAAAATGAATTTACTGTGTACGAAATGGTTAAGTAAAAGTTTGTGTATCGAAGCCAAAGGAGGGAAGACAGACAAAGTGGCTGAAAGTCGAACCGAAACAGTGGGTCATGCGGAGAAAATACTGGTGATGTGACAAATATGTTCTGATAATCACTTCTTTTAATTGGCTAGTCTTGTTTATTTTACAGCACACTCCAAGTGTATACATTCAAAAAAAAAAAATAAAACATACACACATTTAAATATGTTACGTTATCAAAAAAACCAAACTATACTTATAGTCACATTTAAAATAACTATTAGTTAACCGTAAAAATCATTTATAATATTATTAATAATAACATATTAATATCCAAAATATTTTCAACTACGAAGAAAAACCTCTTACTTTTCCAAATGATAAGCTTGTCTTACATGATTTTCTTTAATGCTTCCCCGAGTACTTGAAGCACACCTCAATATTTTTCCCCATCGTACAGCCAAAGTGCTTGTCCCAATTTTCGGGACTTGGCCGTCGTCCTAGCTGGGTTTCTGGTCCCGGATCTCGGCCGAGTCCTTTTTGGCCAGCGAGTGTGTCCCTTTGGCCGGGTTTGTTTAACTGTTTGCCGAAGCTGGACGGCTGACGGGCTGATTGAGGAAATGCGCATCAGGCGCACTGAGCCACTGCCAATAAACTATGCGCCTGCCTTTCCCAGATTCCGTTTTATATATATATATATATATTTGTATATGTGTATGTACACATATATATATATATATATATGTATAGGGGAATGTGTGCATTGATCTCGAGGAAAGCAAGCGAAATCCTATAAATATGCCATTTGAAAGATAATGCAGCAATAACAAAGTGGCGGCAACAGGAGGGGCTGGGAAATGGCAAGGTGGGTGGAAAAGCTCGGGGGAAAGCCGAAGCCAAATGCAGGCTGGAGAAAAGATAAATAGGCAGCAGAAGGCAAACAAGATGAGCAAACAAACGTGCCAATGGGAGGTGGCCAAATGTGGGGTGGCTTGCACTCAGAAAAAAACATTACATAGAAACTCGCAAGCTGCATTTCATTGAAATATAGTGCAAAAAGTCATTTTTTATGAGCTGCATTGATGTTATCTCAATAAATTATGAAGTTCAATGCATATCAATAAATGAAGCTTATTAATTACAACACAAACTATACTTTGAAAAAATATAAGCAAAAAAAAAAAACATTTGAGC